CTTTGAAACTACATGCACTGTTAAGAGAACTGTAGAATTAATAGTGTTTAGTGCACGATTCTGTTTGTAAGAGACAACGAACTGAACAGAGCTGCTGTTGGCAGCTCGTAGCCCACAGGCGGTGTTAGGGCGACCATGAGGGAAGGAACCTCAATGCACTACGTTGGTTGCTACATAATAAAAAAAGGCAAGGTCCACATATTGTAATTCGGAAGATTACTTTCAACGGGAAAAGGCTTCAGTTTCCATTAAAATTCTAATTACTGCCTGTCTCAATGGCCTCACAGTTTAAGGGCGAGGTTTTAGGTGGAGTAAACCCTGGATTGATGAATTGTTCCTTAATACCACTAATATGAGGGATTTACCACAGGATAGCAACCCCTCCCGCTCCCAATAAACACAAAACACGAAACAAAAATTCTGAAAATGTATTACCTTAATTGAGTTCACTTAGGAAATTTAAAAAATAAAAACGTTTGAATGGGAATCAGTTGAAATTAAGTCACACCCATTACTTCGATATTGCAGTACAGCTGTAAATCGGACAATGTCTGCACTGCTTATGTGGGCGTGTGACTGTGAAATTAAACCTCTCGAGTTGAGGCAAGAGCAGACATTGAGGGTTTCTGCGAATAAAGTGTTGAGCATAATGTTCGAACTTAATAGAACGAGTTAACAGGACGATGGAGACAGTTATATAATGGGTATTGTGTGAAGTTATAGTCTGGCTTATTGTGGTTCTAGATAGGGACCTGTGACAGGATCTTTTGAATGTGTTAATGAACCTGTGGGTGTCATAAAATACGGGGAATTTACTGACCAACTGAGCGAATATTAGCTTCTCAAGAAGGACTGTGCCCAGTGGGAAGACGTGTGTTGAAGACTGTAAGTGCTATTGATTTAGAAAAAGAATTATTGTAACCTAGAGGTCAGTGTGATATTTATTGCGTGTGTCCAATGCTAACACATATCATGTCTTGAATAGTATATGAATAATTGAACCCCACATAAGAGATTTGAGATCTTCACGGTAAAGATAGTGAATAATGAAGATTTCTGTCTTCTGGGTTATTGCGCAATAACCCAGAAGACAGAAATCTTCATATTCACCGCTGTGAGAACCTCAAGTCTTACATAGTGAATAATGTTGGTCTTGTGATACCATGTGATCTGTAGGTAGGTACCAACGTTTCGTAGGAGGATACTGTCGCCGTCAGTCCAGAAGAACAGTATCTGTCGTCTTCTTCGCCGTGAGAATTTCAGCCATCACAAAATCACACCTGCTCGATATGTTATAATTTAGAACTCAGTACTAAATTTAATATGACACTATTCATTTGTTACTGGCATGAATTGTGGACGAACAGGTAGAACTATCTCCTCCATCATGAGCTCTGCGCACAGTCTTTCCTCCAAATTTCGACCCTACTGTAGCTCGGTGTTGCTCGCAGCTGCTGCGCGTTGCTGTGTATTGAACCGAACGCTGGCCAACGGACTGCCTGCCGGGGTCGTCGTTCTAGTTAGTGGCGTGTCAGGGCAGCCTCGAGGTGACATATTTGTATCATATTCTTGCTTTATTGGACATGGGATTGTACTTCTTTGTGGTGTGGGATAAGCTTGATAAATCGCCAGCTGGACTGACAGAGGCGGCAGAATGTCCCCGTCACTCGCGGACCTGCAGAATAAATCCGCCAAATAACGCGGTAAGATCAGGACAAAATCGCATTATATCTTCTTTCTTTGCTCCTTTATTTATTTTTTTGTATCTCGTTCTTTGTGTCTTTCTTTACACCGTTTGGGCAGGGAGACGCGATCAATCCGTTATGTGAACGTTTTAAATTACCGAAGAAAAGAAAAGATCTCGAGGCAGTAACAGATAATTAGACGAAAATGTTAATATTTTGATTTAGTTACAGGAACCGACGAATATTTCTATGAAGCATCCCGTTATTTATTTCTCGTCGAACATGGGCGTTTAGTGACAGTTCCGTCATAACGCGAGTTTCTCGTATAATCCGAGATTTAGCTAAGTTCGAAATTATCATTCTAAAGAAAAATATTTATTTTTATAAGTTATAACAAAAGTATTTAATTCGAAGCTGCACATGTATAACTGTTCTTGTAAGATCCTAAAGAAATTTTGTTCGTTTTCTAGAAGTTCCTATATTTCCACTCCAAACGAGAAGGTGAATGAGATTGAAGTTCTCGTGGCTTGCGAGTATGAAGATGGCTGTCTTATGGGTCATTGATCCTTGTCTTGTAGAAGTTTACCGACGTTTCAGAGGTCCTTGCTGCGATGAGTACCAGAAGTATGACGATGCGTCATATTTGTCTTTTGGTTAACATTCAGCCAGTTCTAGGTAGACTGGAGAGCTTTTCTTGGAGTAAGACATTAGAAACAAACACAAAAGAATTTAGAACAAAGATGAGAGGAGATGTGGGCTTTGGGCTTAAGCGTAATCTTGTTTTCTCTTTTTGCCCGTTCCTTATGCACAAAATCCTGGAACGCAGCAAAGCGTTGGCCGTTAGTATGTAAATTCTACCAGAATGCATACTAACAAGAACGGTAATGAGTTTGGTTGGAATGTATTTTTGCATACCGTGCTTCTGAACAAGAACACAGAGTAAAAGAAGTTGCAAGTTAATCAGTAACGGGAAAAAATATCTCGGAACAAAGAGAACGAAAGTATTAAATATTAACCCACCTCTTGTGTTAGTCTTCGAGATATCCGTAAGAACCGTTGAAGAAACGGGGTGTGTTATATCGGGCAGTTCCATCATCCTACAGCGTTTGAGAAAAAAATGAACATGTCGTTGGCATTCTTTACGTTTTACAATATCGTAAGACTTGTCAGGGACTATTTTACTCTTTTTTTATATAAACACCGGATATTTACGTAACTCTTATGTTGATAGATTTTTAGTGAAATCGTCTTATCAGATATGATACTGTTCAACTGATTACATTGTATTTTTAAGGAAATAATCGCTGTTTGCATGCAGATAGGACGCAAACGTCTAGGCTTCAAAGGGTTAATTTTCATGCGAAATGTTCGCATTGTAGGCTTTATAGTACCCCAACAATGAACGGTGTAACTAAGCAGGTTACCTCAAGTGGTAAATCTACTGTCGTGTAGTTGGAAATTCCTTGGGTCGGTTCTCGGAAAGTGCATCGGTTATGTAGGATTTGAGGTTCTCACGACTCAAAAATGTATGGGCCTCATCTTGTTTTTTGCAGAACCATGTTGAGTCTCTTGTCATCGTGGCATTCTCTTCCTCAAGTTGCGGATGTAGAAAGCCTCCAGATATGAATTTACCAGTGTAAAATGATTATGGAATAAAGAGTCGCGAACAGCCGACAACGGGTGGTCACCTAAGTTACGGATTGGGCTGGGGCTAACAACACATTACTGTGTACGATTTGAGGTTTTCACAGCGGTGAGTATGAAGATTTCTGTCTTCTGGGTTGTTGCGCTGTGTAGTCTGGTCGATGTTAACCAACGTTTCAGAGGTCATACTGCCTCCGTCATCAGGGCGATGAAGATTTCCGTCTTCTGGGTTGTTGCGCTGTGTAGTCTGGTTGATGTTAACCAACGTTTCAGAGGTCATACTTACATACTGCCACAGTCATCAGGGCGATTCATCGCCCTGATGACGGAAGCAGACTAGACTACACGGCGCAACAACCCAGAAGACAGAAATCCTCAAACTTTTTACTGTATAAATCAGCGTATTCAGCGTTGTTTGTCTGGGTCGT